TGCGGATCTACATACAAGGTATATTATGCCAGTTAGATAATGTAGTAATTTACTTACCTAGTTTTGATTGATGTTCGAATCTGTATTTGTCAAAACATAACATTTAGAGAGCATGAACATTTTGTCATGGTGGTGCTGCTACTTCTACTGTTACTTAGTTGTACATTGCAATGGAAAATGGTAATTGGGAAGTCATTGGATGAGATATGTGTACAAATGAATGCAAAGAGAAATTAAAATATGCTATACCCATTAACTTTTATTTCTGGTTATAATATTTGCCCAAATATTAAGGAAACAATAAATGAAACTTCGATTTTAAGTGTATTGTCTTTCTTACCCTTAAATAAAAGTGTACGGTTGTAGAAAAAAATTAAATTGGAGTGTTAAAATTAGGTAGTTTCATTAATATACGTTATCAAAAGTAGAGAGAGATTATCGTGAATTTGTAAAGATTGTTTTCATTCTACATTGGAAATAAAGTACGACAAATAAAAAAAAGTTTTGGTTTCACTCTATTGCGACAGATAAAAAAAAAAAAAGAGGCAGTGGAAACCTGGTGACCCGCAACCTCGAAGAATGGTTCAAAAAGAGAAGTCATTTTTTTTTTTAATAGAGAAGTTGGGATAACGTTTAGGTTCTAGTTGACTCTAGCAAACTCAAGGGGTCTACCCAAAAGGTATGTTTCGAGCCAACCAGTGCTAGATAGTACAATGCACCCAAAGGGTATACTCAAGGAATGGACATATATATTATCTAGTTTCCTAGTTTCATCCCTCCCTTAATTTTATTAATAATGCATCAAAAGCGAATGGCAGAGTATAAGTTATACCATTATACATCACTTAGACCTGACACAGGGAAAGGATCTTTGATATAAAACCAAAAGACCCCTCACTTTTACAGGTAAAGCTTCAAAACAATCAAAATTAAAAGTGTATCCCGCAGAAGCTAGTTTAGACAAAGCATCAGCAACCGCATTTGCTTTTCTATATATATGCTCAACCTTGTAACCCCTCCTCCTCTTGATAGACACTATCTCCTGCATTTCAAAAAGATATTTCCATGCATAGTTGCTCTCTTTAAGCATCATATCAGCCACTAACTTACTATCTGTCTGTACTAAAACCTGCTCAAGCTGTAGCTCTTCACATTTTCTAATACCAGTAAGAACTTCATGTATTTCCGCAGCTAGAATGAATCCTTCTCCCAAAGATTGAGTTCCAGCACAAATGAAACTCCCATGCTGTCAGCGAACAACATAACCAAATCCTGAATGCCCCGGTGATCCAAGCACGGAGCCATCTGAATTCATGATAAAGCAATTAGGGTGCGGAGGCTTCCACCTCACTATTTGGTCACGTTTCCTTCCCCTTGGCCGCATGACAAGACCCAAAAGATCATATATTCTGGTAGATTCAGCTCTGAGCATGGATATTACATGGATATTACATGATCATTCACCATATAAACAACAGTATTAAAACAAAATGGTATATTTTGAAAGATATATCTATTCCTAGCTTTCCAAACCTCCCTAACAATGAACAAAGGAATAGACATAATCACCACTTTGAAAGCTAAGGAGAAATTTCCTAAAGACCACCATGACTTGATATGATTCCATAACCCCGAAGACAGTGGCAAAAGGAGACCCATTTTAGCAGCAAAAAGTCGCCATATTCCTTAGCCACATGGCAGTCAAAGAAAATATGGTCTATACTATCATCATTCAATGGACACATAGGGCAAATAGAAACAGCAAAAAGTCGCCATATTTCCTTAGCCACACGGGAGTCAAAGAAAATATGGTCTATACTATCATCATTCAATGAACACATAGGGCAAATAGAAGGCAAAGAAAATATACCAAAATGTCTAATTACCTCAGGAAAAGGAAGTAGATGATTATATAATTTCCATGTGAAATCACAAATTTTTTGAGGTATAGCTCGATTCCAAACCTTCTCAATAACTACATCATTATTAGCAGCCCTTCGCATTCCCTCATAAGCCGTCTTGATTGTAAAGTAACCATTAACAGTTGGCTGCCAAACAAGAATGTCCTCATCATCAGAAAAATTTATTTCCAACTCCAAAAGTCTATCAACCACATTGTCGGAAAGATAATCGTATAAGAGATGACCATGCTGCCCTCTCCTATCAAAGAATTCTCTAATTGTTAGATTCAACAATGGAGGATCCACACGAGATAAATCCCAAAGGAGTCCAAATTCGGACCAATTAGAGAACCAAAAAGAGCTATTTCCATTTCACACCAACACCTTGGAAATTGAGGAGGCCTTAATCCGAATCTTCAAAGTTCTTTTCCACATAGTAAGCTTTCTGGAATGAGGGGTTAAAGAAAGAACAAATTTAGACCAGAAACAAATTTTATGCTCCATTTTCCACCAAAGCTTAGCTGAAAAAGCATCTATAACCTTTTAAACTTCGGCAACCCTAGTCCATTCTCCTTTGTAGGAAAAGTGAATTTATCCCAAGCCCTCCAATGCCTTTTAACTCCTTCCTCCGAATCACCCCATAGAAATCCTTGGCATTTAGATTCCGAACCAGCAATAATAGATTTTAGAGGACAATGGCTGCCCATGTATGAATTGGAATCGAAGCAAGCACATGCTTTATCAAGAGTAACCTTCCTCCTTGAGAAAGCATTTTATTCTTCCAATTGAAAAGTTTTCTATCGACTGCACCCAACAAGTATTGAAAGTAGGCTGCCTTTCTCTTGCCCTCAAAGACCCTACAAGCCATGCAAATAAAAGGGAAAGAGCCGCGATCCATTCAGAGAGCATTCTTTATTATTTCAACCCTAGAAGCATTGCATATTTCAAAGACTAAGAAAAAGCTCTTTTGTCTATTGATTTTTTGCCCCAAAGCTGCTTCATAGTCCGAGAAAAAAACATTAAGCTCCCTCAATGAGCGTTTTAGACCCCTAGTAAAAACAACCAAATCATCGGCAAAACATAGATGCAACGGATGTAGAGAACCAGCAGGAGTTCCAAACATTGGAATCTTCCCAATGCCTACAAGATGCTTGAACCTGCGTGTTAAGGCTTCCAATACTAAGAGGAATAAGTAAGGTGATAGAGGATCACCTTGTTTTATCCCCCTTGATGATTGGAACAAACCTGTTGGGCAACCATTTAACAAGATCGAAAACCAACTCCCCCTTAGATTGTTCATAATGAGCTCAACAAAGTTAAATGGCAAACCGAAAGCTATAAGCACCGCCTTTAGGAAATCCAAAGAGACCCTATCAAATGCCTTCATCATATCTATCTTCAAAACACCATTATCACCCTCGGCCTTATGCTTCAAAAATTGACACAAATCTTTAGTGAGAAGCACATTGTCTATGATATCTCTTCCCGAAAGAAAAGCCGATTGCTCCTGCGAAATCAATTTGTGCAATCACCTTTTCAGCCTCTCCGTCAGCACCTTCGTGAAGATTTTATTTGAAAAATCACAGACTTATTGGCCGGAAATCAGCAAAAGTAGACACTACATTCTTCTTAGGAATCAAAGTAATCAATGTACTCCCGAATGCCCTAGGAAGATCAAACCCTACAAAAACTCCTTACCAGCCTCCAATAAATCACTTGATATTATGTTCCAAATCCTTCGATAAAATTTGTGCCAAAATCATCCGGACCAGGAGCACTATGAGGGTCCAAACTGAAAACTGCCTCCCGAATCTCTTCCATAGTAATGTGCTCCAGCAGCCTCTGTTGATCTTCACCCGAAAGCAATGAAGGGACATGAGACAACAAAGTTTCTTGCGCAGCCATGTCCCCATTCCCAGACTCTTGAGTCAGCAAACTTTTGAAGAAAACCTCCGCTTCATTCTCAATTTCACGAGGCTGTTGTATCCACTGTCCCGAGGAAGACTGAATTTTATGGATGCTCAATCTTATTCTTTTCTTCGCCAAAGAAGCATGAAAAAAACCAGTGTTGGCATCACCTTCTTTTAGCCATTTAAGCCGAGTCTTTTGTCTCCAGACGTCATCTTGAGAATCAAGCGCGCCTTTGCTTCATTGAGTTTCAATCTATCTTCATGATTTTTTGTGGATAGACTAACTCCAAAGACCGTACCTCCTCTTCAGCCATTTTGAGATTGTCAAATACATTCCCAAAGGAAGTCTTATTCCACTCTTTTAGAGCAGCCTTCAATCTGCGAAGCTTCGCTGAGAAAGCATGCATTCCATACCCAACAACAGGCTGCTCCCAATTAATGCGAACCAACTCAAAAAATTCTGGCCGGTTGAGCCACGTATGCTGAAATCTAAACATTTTAGGCTTGCTCACCATCTCAGCTGAAAATGTATGCAAGATCGGGCAATGATCCGAAGGTGTCTTATTAAGATTCTGAATAGAAGAAACCGGAAAAGCCTCAAACCATTTTTCAGAAAATAAAACACGATCAAGTTTCTTGCTTATCCAACCGGATTGTCTTGTTCCCCCGCAAGTAAACTCCTCCCCTGAAGATGGAAACTCTGAGAGATTACATGCTTCAATGCATTCATTAAATTCATCCATCGCCCCTCTATCTTGGACCCAAAACCCCGAATATTCATCCAATGAGCGTATCACATTAAAATCTCCTCCCGCCATCCATATTTCTCCTTGATGCGCTTGATAGAAAGAAAGAAGATCATCCCATAATTGTTGGCGTTCAATCTTGGTAGACTTGGCATAGACAGCGGACAAGTAGAATTTATTAGGCAAATTCAAATGAGAAATCTCCAAGTGCATCACCTGCGTTTTATTCTCCAACCCCCTAGCTGTAAAATAATTTTTCTGAAACACCAAATTTTATTAGTACAATAAAAGAAAGCAACTTCAATCATCAATCTTATGAGCATCCACCATAGGTTCTAACACAATCGAAAGATCAATTGAATGCATCCGAACCAAAGATTTCAAACGTAGTTGAGCAGCATTGTTACTAATTCCTCTAATATTCCAATTCAATTGATTCATCATCAGTTAAAAATATTAAGGGAAAAAGTTTCCTGTAACCGCGCCGAACGCCTTAGAACAAGGCCTTCTTGCATTCCCAAACGCTCCTCCTTTGTCGTGCGACCTCGCCTTCGCTTAACAGTCACGAAACCCTGGCTCATTTCATCGAATTGTTGATCTTCCATCTCCCCTTCAGACCACCTACCCCCTGCGTCCGCCTCTTCCACCTCTTTCCCAATCTTACGGGCGAAATTTTCTTCATCCGAAGCATAGTGCATTAGTTCCATAGCCGTACCATCGACAGAAGCATAAGGAGGATCTTCCAGGATAGTTTCGCCGACTTCGTCAGGAAAATCATCAGAACTATCATCAATATCCACCTCATTGACTGTATCGGATAGAAGCTCAAACCGGTTTTCAGAAAGTCGCGCGACAGGAGAACCATGCAACTCATTTTCGGCAATCACAATCAAAGTTTTATTTGTCCCTGGACTTACCAAATTCTCCATAACATGAACTGGTATCACCGCTTTCTCAGAAGCTATGAGTCCAGAAGAAGTCGCATTCACCGGGTCTAGGGTTTGCGCAGCATGCGAACAAATTTGCGCAGCCTGTTCGCATCCGGCTTCCCGGGTTTGCACTACCTTCTCCGCAGCAAGTTGTGTCTCGACGTTTTCCTTTCCTGAGGGTAAAGCCCTAACAATTGAGGGATTTGATTGCAAAATCTCAACTTCCACACTAGTGCCATCTTCATGAATCAACAACCCCCGTCCAGATTCCACCCGTGCTGGTTTTTCCGGCTTCCATTTTGGGACTGGCTTTGGCATCACAAAATTAACCTTCTTCGATTTTTGTTTTCCCTCCACCTTCGGCTTTGAAACAATTGACTTCTCCTTGCGCATCACATCATTCATAGCCGATTGCAGATTTGGATTTTTCTTCTTTGCATTCCTCGATCTTATGACCTATCTTAAAAAAATTATGGTAGTAAGATGGCAAAAATTTATATGAGAAAATCTGATCATATTTCCTTCCTTTCTTCCCAATTCGAATGGACTTAGGAGCTCCTTGGTTAAGTCTACCTCCACACAAAAACGGGCCATTGAGGGTCATGTTAAAGAGAGCGTTGGGGCATCGACTCGCAAGGGTTTTCCAACAGCCGAAGCCATTGAGTACCACACCTTTGGATGCGTCCTTTCCAACGGCAACTCATGTAGTGAGACCCATATCGGAACCATCGAGGGATCTTTCTCAAATTTGAAACCCGGTCGCCACTTTAAGATCCTCATTCGGTACCCACTAATACTCCAAACAGAAGTAATCCAGCAGCGTTGATAGTCTTCTTCCAATTCAACTCGAATGAGGACATGGTGTGGTTTCAAAAGGCCATGAAAGTAAAAACCTTTAAACCCTAATTTTTGAAATTCATCTCCACATGTCTCCATTTTAGGCTGTCCATATGAGAACTTCCCAACAAGACTCATCTTATGCGGTGCAATTAGCTCCTCAAACTCATCATCATCAAACTCCAATTCCGGCATACCATTGAAATAAGTGACTTTTTTGAAGATATGTACTTTCGGAGCTCCAGTAGGTTTCTATTGGTTTGTTAAAACGGCTTGAAAAGGATCGACTAGATCCAATGGGGATCGTTGATGAGATGTCGGCCATATTGGCCGGAGACCGGTCAACAACGCTAGAGCTTGGCCGGCGAGAGAGAGAGAGAGAGACATAATATATATAGGTTATCCTATGTATATTTAGGTCTTGATTTATTATGTTTCAAAAAACAAAAAAAACAACTTTGTATCAATATATAAGCTCTCTATCCTCTCTCTCCTTCTCCTGCTATGGCTGGTGATCAGTCGCCGGCCATTGGCCAAACACAACTACTTCCACCTCTCCAACGACCTTCCTTTGCACAGATTCTAGGATCTGGTTCAAATCCAAAACCAATACATGGCCAGTCATCAAAAAATCAAGCCTCGCCCATAATTCATTCTGAGCCAACTTTCCTCAAAGGAGAGCCGACTTTCTTCTTACAAAAGAAGAAGATGAACAACTGGCAACCCCCTTTCCACTCGCCCTTCTAGGCAAATTTACCAAAGGTAGGCCAAAAATGAACTATTTGCGTAGAGAATTTCAAACCATTGAGTTCAAAGGAAGTTACTCACTAGGAATGATCGAAAGATAAATGAATCCAAATCAAACATGTTGTTTCACTGACCGGCAAACGAGCAGTAACTTTGCAATTTTTAGGAGTTCTCTTTTTATATTAGTTAGATCTCTATTCACTCTCTTTGTAGTCACTACAATCGAAAGAAAAAAAAATTGGTACTAATACAAATTCATTGATGCTAATCTCATTAGCTATACGACTTGCCTGGTTCGCCTTGTCGATTGAGCCTTGAGAATCATTGGAATGAGGCGCTTGAGTCTCATACTTCTCTAAGATCTAACACACAGTCCGGGAGCCAAAAGAGTAAACTTTGCTACTTGGAGAAAATACAACAATATACCCGGAGAGAACGTTGCCTGCACGTTGTTTTTGTTAGTTATTTTCACCATATCTACCCTCTGGTGACTCAATTAATTTTCTTATATACTATTATTCGCTAAGAAAAATATATTTTATGAAATAATAGAGGAGGTTGATGGTGTTATGCTTGATAAACAAAGAAGAAAAGACCTGGATTTTATAGATAGATAAAATCTGAGTTATGTGACAACGGTAATGTCAAATTTTTAATCACAGAAATCAAGCGTATCAAGTTCTTTTAAAGAATCATTCTATTTAATTACTATTTTTTACGGGCTGCAGATCTATATACAAGGTAAATTACTTCGGTTAGATAATGTATTGACATACTTACCGAGTTTGATTGATGTTCTGATTTATATTTGTCAAAAGATAATATTTAGGGAGCATGAACTTTTCGTCATGGTGGTGTTGCTACTTTTACTATTATGTACTTGTACATTACAAAGGAAAATGTTAATTGAGACGTGATAGGATGAGATGGGTGTATTTATCATGGTGAGAAAGCAAAAGTATTGATCATTGCAATATAAATAAATTTAAAGAGAAATTTAAGAATACTATATCCTTTATTTTATTATATACCAAATGGAGAACTTGACAGTGCTTAAGACTTACCAGTATACAAAGATCTATTGGTAGAGACTACGTATATATGGAAAGGAAACATGATCTAAGAGAAAAAGTACCCTAATATGTCTAGGTAAATTTCCCTTAGAGCTATATCTATTTGAATTCCCAAGTGATGCTTCCCCAGCTAAGCCATCTACAACAACATTTGCTTCTCTGAATATATGATGAATGGTATCCTTTGAATAATATGATGAATCTCCTTAAGCTGACTAAGGTATTTCCAAAAAACAGCCTTCATAACAATCAAGAGATCCGCCAGCATTTTGTTGTTGGTTTGTATTGCCATCTTCTTCAGTCCAAGTTGATCACAATTACCTGCTCAGAACAGAATTCCATACACCTCAGCTCCAAATCTATCTCCTCCACCTAAGTAGTCACTTTCTCCACACAAGAAACTACCATCTTTCTTCCTTATGCAAAATCCATATCCCGAATCCAAATTCACCATTGAGCCATCAGAGTTTAGCACATAGTCACTTTGATCAGGAGCCACCCAATGAACAGAGATAAAACATCGCACTTGTACCTTTTGCAATCGGAATCCAAACTTGTGCCAATAATTCTTGGATAAGAAATCATCCATGTCCCTCCTCCGTAGGTGAGGATAGGCTGACTTGATAGAAAAAATTCCGGACGGGGAATGTTGCCATATAAATAAGTCGTGCTCCACCGCTAGGGTTTCTTCAACCCGCATCAATGTCTGCGACACATTCGTCGCCAAAGATCCTTGCAAATCATGTAAATACAAGTTTTTATTAGACCGAAAATCTTTGATACTAAGCTCAGGATGAGGCGGATGAGCATTAGGATCATCCCATATAACTCTATTAGGCATCCAATTATCAAACCAAAATGACCCATATCCACCATGAACCAAAACCTTTGCATGCTTTGATGCCTCAATATCCACTTTCATGACCATACACTATGAGGTTTTATTTATTGCAGTATCTGAAAGAGATATTATGAACTTGCTCCATAATCCATTTTGTTATTTTAATTTCCACCAAAGCATGCATGAAAAAGCATGTACTACATCTTGAAATTTGCCAACCCTAATCTATGTTCTGAAACATGAGCAGCCAATCGATTCCATGCCCTCCAATGCCTTTTCCTTTCTTCACTAGCATCTTGCCATAGAAACCTTTGGCACTTCTTTTCCATTCCCTTTAGTACCGACATAGGAGGATAGATTGCCGACAATACATGTGTAGCCATTGCTGAAATCACATGTCTCAAATGCGCCCGGGCTGAGAAACTTATTTTTCCAACTTGCTATTTTGGAATCCAAGAGAAATTGAAAAGATGATGCCTTGCTTCTACCATGATATAGGTTGCAACCTAAATACATTAATGGAAAGGATCCCTAAGGCATTGCTGAAATCCTTTTAATAGCGTCCACCCTATATGCACTACATGATTCAGCAACCAAGAAGAAACTTTTACTACGGTTCATTTTTGACTCGAAACAATCTCATAATCTTGAAAAACTTTATTCGGCTCCTTTAAAGATCGCGTGTCACTCCTTGTGAGTACTATCAAATCATTAGCAAAACTAAGGTGGGAACCCTTCATTTAACCCGCAGGTGTACCATAAGCTGCAATTTTCATTTTTCCAGCAAGCTCTTTAAGTCTTTGTGACATTGCCTCCACTACCAAAATAAACAAATATGTTGATAGTGGGTCGCCATGTTTTATTCCTCGAGATGGTTGAAAGAAACCTGTTAGAGAGCCATTCACGATTACCAAAAACCAACTATTCTGGAGATTATTCATGATCAATAGAATGAATTGAAGTGGGAAACCAAACTCTTAAAGGACTTTTTACAAAAAATTCCATGATACCTCTATCAAACGCCTTCATCATATCAATCTTAATTGCTACATTATTCCAAACTGCCTTATGATTTATGAACTGACAAAGGTCTTGTGCCAAAACCACATTATCAATGATATCCCTTCCCGGTAAAAAGGATGATTGCTATTCAGAGATGATTTTCGGTAGAGCCAGTTTCAACCTTTCAGTTAGAATTTTTGTAAAAACCTTATGGAGGAAATTACACAAACTAATAGGCCGGAAATCTGAAAATGTACTAACTGAAGATTTCTTAGGAATTAAGGTAATCACCGTACTTGCAACGGCTCTAGGAATTGGTACACCTCCCATAAAGGCTTGGGAAGCAGCTAAAAGATCCCCCGCTATTATCTCCCAACAAGCTTTATAAAAACAATCCCCAAAACCATCCATCCCCGCCACACTATCCTCATCAAGACTAAAAGTCGCAGGCTTTACTTCCTCAATAGTGACAGGTCTAATAAGCATTTCCTTCTCCCCCATTCTGAATTCATCCTTAAAATTATGCAAGAAAGCTTGTTGTTTTTCATTTTGCCGCATATGAGGTTGCTTTTCTGTTAAAAGGAGCTAGAAGAAACTCAGCTCCTCCGTTTAAATTTTTTGAATTTCGTCTAGGTCGCAAGAGTTGCACGGAAATAAGCAGTGTTGTCATCCCCCTCCTTCAACCATTTTAAGCGCATTTTTTGCATCTAAAAATCATCATGTTCATTCAATTTTTGAAGGAATGTAGCATTAGTTGCCTTTCTTTTGAATTCCTTGAGTGATCATAGATGATTTCCAACTCCCTCACCTTATCTTCCGCAACTCACAAATTTCGAAAAACATTTCCAAATTGTGTTTTGTTCCAAACCTTGAGGACTAGTTTTAAATGACGAAGCTTCTTTCAGAGGGCCATCATTTCAAAACTACCAACCGGCTGCAACTAGCTAGATTTTACCACCTCCTTAAATTCATTCCGTCGAAGCCACATTTTTTGAAACCTAAAACATCTCGGGGAAACCCATGGGAACATATCCATCCATTCCGGGGAGAAAATAATACGATCCAACTTCTTGCTAACCTATCCAGTATTCCCTGTTCCACCCCAAGTAAATTCATCTCCGACAGAAGAAATTTCTAGCAAATTATTTGCTTCAATGCATTGATTAAATTTATCAATTGCGTCATAATCTTGGACTAAATTCCCAGAGTACTTGTCCAGAATCCTTATAACATTGAAAAACCTCCAACTATCCAAGGCTGTGATGGAAACAAACCACAAAAATTTTCCAGATTAGCCCATAAAGGTCTTATATCCACCTTATTTGACTTAGCATACAAAGCCGTTAGAAGAAAATTCTTTTGTACTGGCACATATCCAACCTCAAAATGCATCATTTGTTCCCCCACTTCTAACAGATTTATTGTGTATAGGCTACGAAATACTCCAGATCTTACTAGTGCATGTAGCAAAAGCAAAATCAAAATTCAGCTCTCTTGTTATTTCTTCTAGTTTATTTATTGCAAGCATGGGCTCAAGAATCACCAACAATGAAACCCTATACATCCGAATGAGAGTTTTCATGCGTCGTTGAGAAGCTTGATTTTTTATTCCTCTTATATTCCAAAAAATTACACTTATCTTTTGAAAAATAATGAGATTATTAAAGGCGAAGTGATCGCTGGAGCTATTTACCTTATAGTAATTTAGCACGTTCCTCCTTTGATTTTCGGCCTCACTTGTTTTTAATCGAAAGCTCCCCTTGCGTGTTTCCGATTAGGGCCGCATCATTCTCCCCATCAGACCAACGTCCATCATGAATATAATCATCGTCATCATCTATATCATTCTTTTCTGATGCAAAAGAATCATCCGGATAAAAAAGATATTTTGGTGTACCCTCATTTTCCAGATTATTACCATCGCCATTATCCACAAGAACCAATTGTCTGTCGTTGTTTCCCTCTCTAAATACATTTTCTATATCACCACCATTATCCTCTAAAGATTTGTCTTCATCGTTCTCATTCAATGCTTTCACTTCTTCGCCAGCATCATCAATATCTTGAAGTATCGGAAACGTGTTTGTGCGCAGCAATGGAGCAGATTTTCCCAATTCTCGCTGATTCATATCATCCAATTCAATCTTTTCTGGGACCAAAAGAGGGCTGTCAAGAATGTCCAAAAGAGTATCATTCTTCTCTTGCTCCGTCAGCCCTGAAGTCGAACCCACTGGAATTGTTTTCGCAGGGCACGCAACTAGGGTTTCCGCAAGGGGTGCGACTAGGGTTTCCGCAGGGGGTGCGACCGGAGCTTCCGTAATGGCTTGCGATTCCATAGCTTTGATGATCAGCAGCTGTGTTTGTACTATCTCAACCTCGATCTCATATTTCTTTTCATTTTATTTTGGCTCTCAATTTACTTTTGGTGGCTGCAACTTTATACCTTTCTTCTTTGTTGCCTGTGCAACTTCCTTCTCAACCTATTTTTTTGGTGGATGTTTACCGACTCGGCAATCTATTTTCTTGTGGCCTATCTTGCAGCATTTTGAGCAGTAGGAGAGAACATGCTCATAGGTGAACTCTTATTCATGCTTTCGACCTTCCCAATCTTGACAGATTTGGGAAGCTCTTTCATAAGATCCACTTCCACACAAAATCTTGCTACCGATGGCCTTGTCATATTCAGTGTTGGAATATCAACTATCAAAGGTTGCCCTATAGCCATTTCTATGGAAAAGATGAGCTCCGGATGCATGTATTCAATGGGTAGGTCAAAAAGAGAAACCCATATGGGAACTAGTGGCGGATCTTCTTGGAACCGAAACCCTAGTTTCCACTTCAAAATTTGCATTGCAAAGCCTACGATATTCCAAAATGTTTGGATCCAACATCTTTGGTAATCCTGCAAGGAGTAATGTACTATAATAATACATCTACCCAAAATACCCTTTTTCTCTCTACCCAAAACCTAGCATCGATAACTTGCAGGTGGAGCGGTATGGGCGGCTCACCGGTGGAGCATCATGCGCCACCTCGCTAGCTTCTCTCAGAAACCAGCGAATGTAGCTTCTAATAAGACTTTGCTTATTAAGCAAGTCAAGTTTATCAATGAGACTCCAACATTAGAGTTTGAAGAGGACGAGTTTGAGCAATTGATTGCTCCTCATCGGTTGTGTTTGGTTGGGAAATTTTCCTACGGTCGTCCGAAAATGGATGAGATTCACAATGAATTTAGAAAAATCGGATTTTAATGGTGGTTATACTCTAGGCTTGATGAATCCTAGACACGTATTAATCCGATTTAAGCAAGAGGAGGATTATCAAAGATGCTGGATTCGGACGTTTTGGAACATTGGAGGAATTTCAATGCGAATGTTGAAGTGGAAGCCAGGTTTCCGATTTGAAGAATATCCACCGGTGGTCCCGATATAGGTTGCACTCTATGATCTTCCTATTGAGTTCATACATCCGGAAGTCATCTATTTGATGGCTACAGCCCTTGATCAACAATTAAAAGTACATACACCAACAATGAACATGACTCGTCCCTCCGTGGCTCGGTTTTGTGTTGAGGTGGATCTAACCAAGGAGTTGCCGAAATCCGGGAAGATTGGCAAGAAGGGTCGTAAACACGAGCAAATTTTCACTTTTGAGCATATCCCATCTTACTGTTTAAAATGTAGTAAGATCGGGCACAAGGAGGGGGATTGTCGAGTTGGGAAGCCTCGCAGCCAAAGATGGATGGTGATACTAATTTAGCTCTTGTCTCGAAGAAGAAAGGGATAAAGATTAAAGCAGCGAAGCCTAAATGGCCACTCAAAGGGGGAGATTCAAAGAAGGATGCTTTGGAGGTAGAAATCTTGCAGATGAACCCCTTGATAGTTAAAGGTGTTGAGTCTCAAAATGTTACTGGCAAAGTTGATAATAAATCGTACCCTGCAGATGAAACCCTAGCGCGACTTGGCGTACGCCCTGCGGAGGAAACCCTAGCTGCAGAAGAGCTGCGCCAAATTGAATCCACTTCTGGATTATCCAAAATCAAAAAAGGAACAATACTAGTGGATTTGCAGTCCACCCCAGTAAGGGAAGAAGCAGTGCTGGAACTCCCAAGGTCAAATGCGACGGCGCCGGTGCAGTCGGAAAATCGATTCTCGGTTCTCCAAGAACAGCAAGTCACTGATAGCGATGATGATGTGGAAAATATTCTTATTGAGGATATTAATCAAGAGAAATAGAATGTTGGAACGGAAAATGTTGAGTCGGTGATTGTAACTGAATCTCATGTGGATATTTCTAGTTCTATGTTTGAATTAGAAATGCGGAACCTATCCCCCACACCAAAGTTTGGTCGGATCCATTTTCCTGATGATTCTTTTGCAGCAGAACATCATGACAGTAACGGGGATAATGAAGAGCGTGAGTTGTGGTCTGAAGGCGATATACATGAAGAGCGTATTGTGGAAAATGACAAAGGTGAACGTTCAGTTAAGAAAAAACGTGGACGAAAACCGAAGTCTGAGCGTGCTAAACAAGTTGAAGGTGCCGAGTTAAGTCGCTCTATTCGACTTCAGTAGGTTCCTCTCAATTCAAAGTTTCCAATGATTAGTTTTATCTTTTGGAATATTCGTGGAATAAAGAGTCAGGCTTCTCAACATCGTTTGAGATCTATGATTATGATTTCCAAAGTTTCTTTTGTGGGCATTCTCGAACCAATGCTTCCGCTTTTCAAATTGGAAGAAATAAGAAGAGAGCTGGGGTTTGATTTAGCTTTCGCTTCTCCCACTAGCAAAATTTGGGTGTTCTGTAGTAGACTTTTTACAGTGAATATGTTGATAGAGTTAGAACAGGTGCTGCACTTTGAGGTTGGATACATCCTGCTTCAAAAGAGCTTTTTGGTGTCTTCAATCTATGCCAAGTTGAATAAAATAGATAGGCGCACTCTTTGGAGTAGTTTGGAGAATTTCAGAGGGGCACGCCTTTCTTTACCTTGGGTGGTTGGGGGTGACTTTAATGTAATTCGATCATTGGAGGAATATTCGGGATCATCGGTCCTAGCTTATGGAGCAATAGATTAGTTTAATCATTGTATTGAAGCTTGTGATCTGATTGAGGTTCCTCCTATTGGTGATGAGTTTACTTGGGGTGGCACAAGGCATACGGGATCGGTAAGCAAGAGATTAGATTGTATCTTGTTTTCCCGGGAATGGTTTTACATGTTTCTGAAAACCTCGATTGAGCAGCTTAGTCGAACTACTTCGGATCATTGTCCTCTCGTCCTCCAGTTTGATATACACATTGAAAGTAGGCCAAGATGCTTTCAGTTTCAGAAAATGTGGTTAAGAAGGTCGGATTTCCACAATGTAGTGAAGGAGAGTTGGTCCCAACCAGTTCATGGATATGGTATGCTAGCTTTTTCCGCTAAACTTTGCCGGCTAAAATTCAAGCTCAAACAATGGAACAAGGCACATTTTGTTGATGTCTTTGATAATTTGAAGAAAGCTGAGGAAAAGGTAAAGGAAATGGAGAATATTTATGATCATTCTGGTGACGTGAATGATAGAATGAATCTCAACTTGGCTAGTGCCACCTATCTTCAAAAGTTGAAGGAGCATGAAAACTTTTGGAAATAGAAGATGAGATTGAAATGGTTGAAGGAAGGGGATGCGAATTCATCTTTCTTCCATGCGACTTTGGTCGAAAAGAGAGTGAAAATGGGTATTCATGAAATACAAGGTGAAAATGGTAGAACCCTAACTGAATTAAGAGATATAGAATGCGAAGCAGTGAATTTTTCCAGCATTTATTAACAGAGGAACCAGCCCCCTCGGAGCAACGGGAGAAGCAAGAAATCTTGCTGAATCTGTTTCATGATGAACTTGATCATTCTGACAAGTCGATGCTTATGGGTATAGTGACAATGGAGGAGGTTAAAAATGCTTTTTACAGCCTTGGTGAAGATAGTTCTCCCGGTGTTGATGGATTTGGTTGTATATTTTATAGGTCTTTTTGGGATCTTATAGCTGATGATTTATTGCAAGCCTGTAAAGAATTCATGGGAGGAGCACCGATTCCAAGGGCTGTTGCTAGTACATTGATAACCTTGTTGCCTAAGAAGCAATCTTTTACCACCTTTTCAGACTTTCAGCCCATCAATCTTTGCAACTTTCTGAATAAGGCATTTACCAAAGTCTTAATAAGAAGAATGAAGAAAGCTCTACCCAAGATAATTTCTGAAGAACAATCCACTTTTCTTGAGGGGCGAGATATCATTGATAATGTGGTTCTAGCACAAGATCTTTGTCAATTTGTTACTCATAAAGCTGTTGGGAATAATTTGATTATTAAGGTTGATATGATGAAGGCGTTTGACCGGGTGTCGTGGAATTTTCTTGAAAATGTGCTTCGAAGGCTAGGGTTTCCGCAGGGATTCATTGCATTGATCATGAACAATCTTCAAGGTAGCTGGTTCTCAGTAATGTTTAATGGCTCTCCTTCTTGTTTTTTCAAGGCCTCTCGTGGCATAAAGCAAGGTGATCTGCTATCACCTTACTTATTTATCCTAGTAGCTGAAGCAATGACGAGGCGGTTGAATTCATTGGCTCAAGAGGGGAAGTTGGCAGTGTATGGAAGCCGGTTCCTTGAGGGTTTCTCACTTGTGTTTTGCGGATGACTTGGTAATTTTTACAAGGAGACAGTAGAAATCTCTTAAAGTGCTAGATACATTCTTCAATGATTATGATTTGGCGTCGGGCCAAAGAATGAATCGTCAAAAAAGTTTCTTCCTAGTTGCAGAGTCATGCCGCGCGAATCGGGTAGAAGTCATTGCAATGGCCTTGGGGATGCAAAAGGGATCTTTTCCTTTTACATACTTAGGCTGCAAACTGTACCAAGGAAGGAAGAAGGCTTCAATATTTTAGTTTCTTCACAATTCTCTTGAATTGAGGTTGGTTAATTGGAAGAACAAGATTTTATCTATGGGTGGGCGATTAATACTTTTAAGACATGTGCTAGCAGCAATCCCTATTCATGTCTTTTCTGCTATAAGTCCTCCTATTTCGATTCTTAAGCAAATGGAAAAACGGTGTCAAAGATTCTTGTTGCAAGGCACCAGTGAGGAGAAACGAAGGCATTGGCGATCTTGAGAGCGCTTAACCTTTCCGACTTTGGAAAATGGGTTAGGGCTTCATCGGTTTCAGGATGTTGTACAAGCTTTCTCTTTTAAGCTTTGGTGGAAATTTAAGCATCAAAAAGGCTTGTGCAGTAAATTCATATCTTCTCTTTCAACTTCAGCCAAGATGAACACTACTTGGAGTAGGGTTTTGAAGGTGGAACATATGGCGTCTAAAAATGCAAAGGTCTTGATTCGTGGAGGTGACAGACTTTTTTGGTTTGATAATTGGGCGCATGAAGGCCCTTTTTGGGGTTTGAATGAGGAACATCCACCTATTCCATCTTTAACCATTCAAGAATTTTTTGCTAATAAAGATTTATTCTTGAATGATATGTAGGGAGTTCTTGATTGGAGAATTTTTCAGGAATTGCAGCACAGGGAGATTACGCTAACGGAGGGGCGCGATCTCCTTTTTTGCAGCATTCAACTTCTGGAAAATTTACTGTAAAATCAGCTTACTTGCATCTGAGAAGGCGGAACCAGGAAGACTCTTTGGCTAGGAATTTTTGGCATAAATTAATTCCTCTAAGGGTTTCTTTTTTTTGTCTGGAAACTGAAGAATTTCTTGGTCCCTTTTCCGGAGATCTTGAGTACTTTTGGCATCCAGGTTCGTCCATCCATTTGCTTATTATGTCGCAACCATGAGGAGAGTGTAGCTCATTGATTTTTTAGTTGTGTTAAAGTTAAATGAATTTGGATCCATTTTGCAAAAAATTTTTCCATAAAGCTGGAGAATGATACCTCTTTACTTGATAAGTTGCAAAAATGGTGGAGTGGAGGCAATTTCGCTCTTGCTAAACAAGCCTTGATCAAGATCATCCCTTCTTTTCTTCTTTGGGAGATTTGGAAAGCGAGGAATAAGGTGTATTACGATGGGGTGCCATTTGACAAAGGAAGAGTTATATGTGATGTCTCCTATGCTGCTAAGGATTCATTATTTGTTCATGATTTGAAGGTGAAGAATGTGGAAGAGAGGGACTTTATTGAACGGTCTTTTGGATTAAGATTGCATAAAATTCAAAAACGAACTTGCATTTTGGTTTGTTGGAAACCTGTGCGCGCGGAGGATTTGTACTAAATTCGGATGGTTCGGCTACTGAGGATGGTTCTGGCTATGGTTTTGTTATTAGATATCACGAAGGAGATTTCATGTATGGGGAGCATAGTTTCCTAGGTCCCGGTGATAGTTTCAGGTCGGAGGTTTATAGTCTTTTATTTGGAGTGCAAAAATGTGATCAGCTTGGCTTGGTAAGAGTTGATATTCAGACAGACAATAAGGTTTTGGCTGACCTTCTTGGTTCTTTGAATTTGATTCCATGGAAATATTACTTTCAAATAAAGGAGATTCATGAGATAATTTGTAAGGGATCATACAGTATATCTCACATTTTTCGGGAGGCAAATGCCGTTGCGGACAGTTTAGCTGGACAAGGCTCTCCGGGCTATTCATGTGCTTATATTGGATTGGGGGCTTTACGTAGGCATACTCGTGGTCTAGTATTACTAGATCAAATCTCATTTCCTTATTTGAGAGTAAGACTCAAATAGCATTGTAATTTGGTAAGTCTTAAGCACTACCAATCTCCTTTATTTAATGGAATTGAATAAAAAGGAGGGTGGAAGTAGGGAACCATGTAATATGTATGTCCATCCCTGGGTAGACTCCTTTATTTATATGGCACTTGCTAACTCAAAAATTTACCTCCTGGGTAGACCCCTTGAGTCTTTTTGGGTTGGTTGAGTCCTGAACGCCATCCTTTCTATTGATTTAAAAAAAAAAATTATTTGGTAATCCTCTTCTTGTTCGAATCTGATTAAAATGTGCCTATGGTTCATGGGACCCAAGGTATAGCTGCCATTGAAACAATCTTCTGAAACTCGTTGTGAACCTCCTCCATTTTGGGTCGTCCATATAAGAATTTCCCAACGAGGCTCAAATGATGTGAAGCTACAAGTTTTCCGAATTCATCATATTCATATTCCAAGTTGGGAGTTCCATTAATGAATTTTACTTGCTTGATGAGGTTTATTTTGCCGTTCTCGGGGTTGGTTGGCTTTTAAAAA